ACCAGAACTGAGCTGCTGTTCTGCAGAGCTGGTGAGTAAAATTTTGCAGTACTGTACAGTATATATACGTATGTTGTTAAAATCACATAGAACATTGCGAGAGTATGGGAAGGGTTTATAAAGCCTTAAAATATATTTAAATACTAAAAATAAATATAGCGTTCCTACTTTGCGGTTTTTCACTTTTTATGGGGATGTCTGGAACGTAACCCCACGATTAACGAGGGACTACTGTACATTAAATCTGTCTGACCTTTTGACCCCAAGCAGCTCTTCCATGGACGTCGCCATCATTGACCTGTTTTCAATCACTTCAGCCGTTTCCATTTTTATCCACCCACAAACTTTACTGAGGAATTTTTAATTTAAGGTCAAATCAGTCATAAATATGGAAAACAACTTTGTAGACATGTTTCTCACTTAATGACTTTTATACGTTTTATCAGTCTTTATGTTATTGAAATGATTATTTTACCAGTGGGTTTCAATTTTATGGACCAATAAGTACAATAAGTAGTGTTCTTTTGGTTTCCTACCTGTGTGCATCAGTGTCTTAAAACGTGATGGAACATTTGAAGAAGAGAAAAAAAAAGTTTTTTCCCTTTTTTTTTTCTGAGAAAAGAAACACTTTCACAAAAGTATCCATGTAATAAAAGTTACAGCTCTTCTTCTATTCTTTTGAATATTAACTTTTACTATGTAGACTTTTTTTTGGCTCATTTTAAAATGTTGATACCGTTCATTAACCAGTTCATCGTTTTGGCAATATTTGTAGATCATCAGTAGCAAGTCCAATGAATCACAGTTTTTTCTCCTGAATCATCCAGTCTAAGAATTAACACCCTCTAAATGAATTTCAAATAATTTGCATTTAAAATCTTAAGTAAGATGTCACTGGTCAATGCAACTATTTTTGCATTTTGCCGTCTGCTCATTTTAAATTAGGATTTTAAAATTGTGCATACTCAAACAAACAACTTTACTTGAATACAATCACAGTCACCTTTTGTCTCTGATGTTTCTTTTTTGTAAAGCTTGTAGTCTTTTATGGCTTCACTAACTGCTGATGTAACAAACACACAATCCATGCAGGGCTGAGTTTGGGAGACGAATCTGATGCATTTTCATGAAGAGAACAAAAAGTAGAGATTGTCATCGTCTGGCACAGAATGACTTCACCCATTAAAGCTTCCAAACAGAGCTTATAAAAAAACAACCTCGCTCCATCTGTACTTTTGTATCTTTTCTCATCATCTTCGAGTGAGGATGTGTGAGCAGGATTCAGGCTCTATAAGCAGGTTCTTTATGATGCTGTACTAATGTGAACTGAAGGGTTTTGGGACTACCAATAAGTCCCATGATCTCCGGTTACAACCTCTTCGTTGTGTCTAAGATTTATACATAAGGCTTACACAATCTGTTTAACTTGCATGTAAAAAATGGTTTCATGCAAAGGTTGTCCAAAGTGGTGATAAGCGAAAACCTTATTTGAAATCATAATGTGTTGTTTTACTTAAAGAGTAAAAACTGCATAGAGGGTTTTCCAGAAATGCAAATGAGGCTCGACACGGCAGGTAAACTGTGATTGTTTTATTGGTTTACATTTCTGGATCCAGAAACGAGGACTTGGACAAATTTGTCATTTTCAGTAGAACACAAAATGTTTCCCTAAAATTAGTTTGAATCTAAAAATACTGCAACCAAGCATCTGACGTTAAAACCCAGTCCAGAAGCGTTGGGTATATCTCGACATCCACACTGCGATGAGTCAGCCAAAAATCTGCAGGAAGTGAGAAAATGACTAAAAACACAGGCAACATTTTAGAAATCTAAGTATTCCATTTCTTTGTTTTGTGTGTAGCTCTGCTTCAAAACTTATCTGAACTGAAAGTCAGTCATGAGATGACAGCAGGCAACACCTGGACCGGCACGGTACAGCTCCTCTCTTAGCTACGAAGAACAATCAACAGCCAACACAAACTGTGGCAGGCAATCTTTAGCAAGAATACAGAAATAACCAGAAAAGGCGAGATTTTAAGAGAAATTGGGAAGTAAAATCGAACTGGTGAAGGTAAAAACCTCGTATCTTCCTTTCAGCAGTTTATTTGTAGCACAGACAACAGCAGGGCTTCTCATCTTCTTCACTGTGATGTATTGATTAATTAAAAACCCACAAAACGTGTGAACATGATAATCAAGGTATTCACCCGACAACAGCAATATTTTTTTTACCAGTAGCACAGTAATAACTTAAAAATCAGCCCTCCTCTCATCTTCTGTGAACTGGAGCCTCAGTACATTCACAAAACGCAGACTTTGATCCAGAAGCTGCTCTGCTAACATCCAGTGCGTTCCCATCAGCTGTGAAAGAAATGCAGTGAAGTGGAGCAGCTGTCCTGAAGCCAGCCCGCTTGGTTAAACACAAAGATGAGAGGGAGGAGCTACACCAAAGGTGCCTGAAGTTCAGGTATTGCATTTCATGTGAATTGATCCAGAAATAATTTTAATGTTTTTTTTGGCACGGATGCAACAGCTGCGATGTCTGAGGCCGAGCGCGTCCTGTGTGCGTATTCACTGCCTCACAGACAGCAGTTCCACTCTGCTGACATTCAAATGTTGAAGTTTTCAGCATCTGATCACAATAAATATCCTCACGTTTCAGCCGGAGGAGAGTTCATCTCAGTCAGAGCGTCTGGACCTGCACAGGAAACAGCAGGGACAGGTGCTCGGCGCCTCGGATCGGGAGTTTGTGCGTGGTGTAAAAGTGGACGGCCTCTGGAATGGTGTCAAACGGCGGGCTGTTCTGTCCCAGCACGTACTTCCCGTCTTTACACTGGGAGAACTTCATGTGCATAAAACCCTGACAGCTCCTGTAAAGAGAGAGGAGGGAATAAATGTGTTGAAGACAGAGATAAAAGGAACAAAAAGTGATGGAGACATGAAACAGAGCAGCATCTGACAGCTTGTGAGTGACAGCCTGGATTTATGTTCACTTCTTTTTATTTCACTCTGCCAACATGAATCTAACCAAAAGTTACAGAAAAAAAAGGAAGGGAAAACATGATGGATGTATGAATGGTATAATAACAAAATATAGAGTTGAATACAGACACTGTGGACTGCAAAAGTGGCTTCACTGATAGTGTCACCTTCCCTTTAAGAACTAGGCGGCCATATAAGGACTTCCCCTTTAAGATCGAGCACTGATGATGATGATGGATGTCTAATTATAGCAGCAGAGGAAAAGACTAGAGCTAAAAATGGTCAGGATAATTATTATTGTTCAGCTCTCTATAATGCTCTGTGTGTGTGTGTGTGTGTGGGGGGGGGGGGGGGGGGTGCGTGGGTGTGTCGATAGTGTGTT